CCGAGGAGAGCGACAAGCTGGCGGAGAACATCAGGGAGCAGTTCTCGTCGGGGCAGGAGCTGGTGGTGGGCGTGCTCAAGGCCATGGGCGAGGTGCGGGGGGCGCACAAGCATGCGCGCGCGCGCGTGTGTGTGTGTGTTTCGTGTGTGTGGGGGGGGGCAGGAGCTGGTGGTGGGGGTGCTCAAGGCCATGGGAGGGGTTGATCGTCACGGGTGTTTTGTTTGGTGTGTGTGTGTGTGTGTTTTGAAACACGTGTGTGTGTGTGTGTGTGCGTGCGTGTGTGTATGTGTGTGTACGTGAGCGTGTGTGTGAGGGGGCACACGTGCGTCGGGGTATGTGTGTGTGTCTGTTGGCTTCCGGCTTGTGAGGGGGCTGGGTACCCTGAGGGCGAGGCCCCGGGGCCACGCGGCAGAGGGCGAGGCCCTGTCGTGGCGGACGGCCCCAAGACCAGGACGACGCTGCCGGGCGCCCCGCAGCAGAAGGCGCGGCAGCGGCGGCGCACTGCTGCCCGCCCAGCTGTCGCGCGCCCGCGCCGCGACCATGCCTTGCGCCCCGGCCGCGCCGCCTGACCGCCCTGCCCCTGCCCCCTGCGATCGCAGGAGATGATCAACACCGTCAAGGTGGTCAACGCCGCCTCCTAAGCTACTGCGCCAAGAAGATGGGGCTGGGGGCCGCCAGCCCTTGCCGGGCGCGCGTTGCCCCACGGAGCGCTGGGGCCCCCAAGCGGCCAGTAAGCGCCCCCGCTCCCGCCCGGCAGCAGCATGCGCACATACCCGCGGGCCCTGCCCTGGGCCGCACGCCGCACGCCGGCCGCCCCTGCCCCTGGTGCCGTGGCGGCTTGAGGCTTGGGGGATGCGCGGCCGCCGCTCTGGCGGCCAGAGCCCTGCAGAGCAGAAGTTTCGAGGGCCGCCGCACACGCGCTCGACAGCCGCTGCTGCGCCGAGTTGTAACCGCTGCGAAGCGGAAGGGTGGGGCGGGCGAGCCATGGGGGAGGGCTGGCGCTTTGTCAGCGCCACCGACGCGCCGAGTGGACGGGCCTGGGCGTTGGCGCTGCTGCTTTGCTGATGCTCGTCACGCCTTGTGGCTGCCAGGTCAGCGCGTCGCGGTTGGGATAGTCATTACACACCATAGGCATGCGCTCCAGCCGCCCGCCGCGAAGAATTGCGGCCCAGGCGCCGAGGGCGACTTGCAATGGGATCGTTTTTTGGCCTGTGTAAATCCTTGGATGGAATCGGGGACCCTCCGCAAGACTTCAGGGGGTGATCATTTGAGGCTGCATCTGCGCTGCGGCGGGAGGGGCCGTTGTCAGCGCGCGTACAAAGTGCTTTCCCAATAGCGGCGGGGCCCAGAGCCCGCGCGGCGGCTTGCGCAGTGTGCTGCGACGCCCGCCGGGCGGCCCGAAGCCGTGGCTGGTAGCTGCCGGCCTGGTCAAATCGGTCAAACGGTGTCGCGGCGCTCCTTTGAAACAACGAAAGGGAGCCGGCGGGCATCTGCCGCTCCGGGGCAAAGGGGGGGACTGGCAAGGGCCAGGGTACTACTCAACGGCTCGGCGCCAATTGCGCCTGCTGGACTTCAAATGCATCGAGCTATCGCCGCCCTTGGGCGATGCTCCATTGAGGGGAGCGATTCTTCATCTTGGGGTGACAGCTGCGCCTGCTGCCCGCGGCGACTCGCGGAGCCACCAAAGCGACGCTTGCGCGGCGCCGGCGTGCAGGCGCACCTCACGCCGCCGCGGGCGCGGGCGCGCGGCCCCTGATGGCGCCGTGCAGCGCGATGCCGGCCAGGTAGGCGGACACCGCCGCGGCCGCCCCGAACGGCAGCGCGAGCGTCGCCAGCGCGGCCTGCTGGCCCGACAGCAGCGCGTAGGCCGAGCCCGCGGTCAGCAGCAGCGTGCCCACCACCGCCAGCGGGCTGGCGCCGGGCGCGGGGTCGGTCTGCGGAGGCGCGGGGACGCGGGCGGGGGGTGGGCGGAGGAGAAAGAGCGTGTTGGCTGCTGATACGGCGAGGCTGACTCGATCCATGTCAAAGGGGTCAAGCTGACATTGATTCCTGCCTGCGCACACAGGCTCATGCAGACGCCCTCCCACGCCCTGCGGCTGGCTTGCCAGCTGGCGAGCGGCCCCCGCGCCACACAGGCGTTCGGCCTGCTAGCAGGCAGCCTGCCCCGGCTGAGAGCTGACTTTGCAGAGTGCGGAGTCACGTGTGCATTGCAGGGTCTCCCAGTTCAGACTGCCGAGCGCAGACTGCTCAGCGCTATGCGCCGCCCGCTGATGGCACTCAGGGTTGGGGCTTAGAGCCCCTAAACCCTAAACCCTAAACTAGGGCCCCCAAAGTGCGTGGCGTGCATTGCATGGTGTGCCGGCCGTGCATCAAGTGCAGTGTTCCCGCTTGCACCCACCGGGCTGCTCAGGCCGAAGTCGGGGATGGCGGGTGCAGACGCCGCCTGGCGGAGCGCTACCAGCCCAACCACCGCCGCGGCGGCGGCGCGCAGCGCGGCGGAGCCTGCGGGGCGCGGCACGGCGGGGGTCAGTGGCAGGGTCAAGCAGAGGCCTCCGTCAGGGCAGCCGCCTCTTTGGCAGCTGCATGGAAGGCCAGGTTTGGCCTGCAGTACATCTGTGACGACCGACGCTTGGCTTTTGCCGTGCGCGTGGCCCGACCGGCCGTGCTGCGTCGATGCGAGCGCGTCCCCAAAACGCCCCTCGCCGCCGCGCGACCCTGCCCCGCCCCTCCCTGCCTACCGTTGAAGCCCGCGAGCGCCGCCGGCAGCGGCTGCGACACGACGACGGGCACAAACAGGATGGGCAGCCATCTGACGGCCCACTCCAGCGCGGGCGAGAAGAAGCGCAGCACGGAGGCGGCGGCGGGGCGGCCGGCGAGGCCGAGGATTGCAAAGGTGGCAAACATGCCGACGGCCGGGCTGGGCAGGTTGAGGCCGGCCTGCGGTGGTCGAGAAGTTTGAATGTTTTGAGGTTTGCGGTTCAGGGGGGGGGCTTGAGAAGGGGGAAGGGGGGCCGGCAAACTCGAGAGGCCGCCCCGTCTTATCTTTGTTTGTGAATCCCAAAAGATTTACGCAATGCATCCGGGGGCGTCGACGGACCCATGGCGGTGGCGCCTCCCGCGGCCGCACAGGAGACACCTCGTCGCCGCCGCCCCTTATCCCTCCCACGCACCCAAAAAACCCGCCACGCCCACCTGCGCCAGCGCCGCCTTGACGCCCTGGTCGACCGCGTAAAGCACCGCGAGCCCGCCCCACAGCCGCGCCGCGCGCCCCGCGGCCGCGGCCAGGGAGCCCGGCTCGGGCGCGACGCGGATCTTGGCGCCGGCCTCGGCGCCGGCCGCGGCGGCGGCAGCGACGGCGAGCTTGCGCGCCTCGGAGGCGGCGGAGGAGAGCTTGACCGAGAGCTCGGCGATGGCCTTGGCGCTCGGCTTCTGTGGTTGTGCGTGCGCGCGCGCGCGCGTGTGTGTGCGTGCACGTGTGTGTGTGTGTTTGTGTGTGTGTGTGTGTGTGTGTGTGTGTGTGTGTGTGTTGAGGCGAGCGAATGGCTAGAGGGGCGGCAGGTGTAGGACAACAGCAGGGTGTGCAACTGAGCCCAAGCCCCGCACCGCAGCCACTTCTCGAATTCAAACCACTTCAATCCAAACCCGATTTTGAAATCGAATCCGATTGTGATACGGAACACTGGTGCGCACCGTGCCGGCGATGACCTCCTTCCGGAGCGAGTCGGCCGTCACAGTGACGGTCGACGACACATAGTCAATCTGGGCCAGGGTCTGCGTACGTGTGCGCGCGTGAGGCGGCATGAGCCAACCAGTCACCGCGGCACGCAGACGGGGGCTGCGTCGCACGCAGCGCGCCAGGGGCAGCTGGCTGCGCTGAGCCGGCGCGCGGCACCGCTCCGACGGGCCTCTGTGCTGACGGCCCCGGCGCTGGGGCCCATCCTGTCGCCCTTGGCCCCGCCAACCCCATTATGCGCCTCTCAAGCCTTGACCGCCCAGGTCGTCCGGGCCGCCCAGACACCCACCCTGCGGTCGTCCTGCCGGACGATTTGCGGCGCCAGCCGGCGCATCTGCATCACCGCCGCCTCCGCGTACGAGTCGTAAGCCTCCAGGCCCGCGTCCCGGCCCTGGGCCACCTTGGCGTTTGCCTTGGAATCTGCGGCCCGCGCCGCCAGCTGGGCCTTCAGGGTGTCGACCGCGAACGTGGCGCTGTCGGCCAGCTGCTGGGCGGCTTCCGCGGCAGCGGCGGCCTGGGGGCGTGGGGCGAGAGCGGGCGGCCGCGTCGGCGGTGGTTCGTTTCTTGGAGATGGCGGGCGGCGAGGGGTGGAGGGAGGGGAGGAGGGCGGGGCCCGCTGGTCTGGCGGCACACGTGGGTGTGTGTGTTTGCGCGTGCGTGGGGGCAGGGCGTGCGGGCGCACGGCAAGGGCTGGGGACGGGGGACCCCACCTGCTCCGCCGCGGTCGGCTGCGGCACCTCCTCAGTCACGGGCTCCGCCACTGCAGCAACAGATGGCACAGTCGGCGCGCGCACTGCGCGGAGAAAGCGCGGGGGTTGGTCGCGAGGGAGGCGGGGCGGCGGCGGGTGTGGGCGGCAGGCTGCAGTGTCGGTGGTTTGGTCCGGTCGGGGGACTATTGGCGGCCGGCTGGGCGGGTGTCTGCGGGGTGCAAGTGCAGCAAACAGCTCAAGGAGGCTATAAGGTGCGAAAGATCCCAACAGATGCTGCTGCAACGGGCACACGCTGCGGGGCGTCGAGGCGGGCCGCGCATCTCCCCCTCCCCCTGGTTGGAGGCGTTGCAAAGCGCGCACCGGCTCGGCGCGCAGCCACCCCTGTGCGACCAATGCGGCGAACGCATGACGAGTTCACTCGCGTTTGCGAGCCAATGGCACGCATTTGGGGCAACATCAAAGCCGGTTCCGACCGGACTCGACAGTGCCTCTGACACGGGCGTTTGCAAAATAGAGAGGGCGGTCAATTGGCCACAACAAAAATGAATTAAAAGCGCAATGTGATGATACGCGGGGCAAACCGCTCTTGGACCACCCCCGTTCACTCCAATGCAGCTGGTGCGTGGATGCGTTTGGAGCACAGGTTGACGCAGAGCATGTGCCCCCCGTGCCCTCCCCAACTTATGAACACCCACCTGTCCCTGAACTGCCAGTCATGCGTGCCCACAGAAGGGGAGGCAACATAAACCAATGACCTTGTGCGGAGCCATCCTGTGGGAGAGAGTGTGCTGACAAGTGATACCAAGTGAAGGCCGAAGCCGGCGCCAGGGGCAGGATTCAAGACGCCCCCCCCTCCCCGCAAAGGCCACGCGCCACTCGGCGGCGGCCTGCTATTTCCAACGGCATGCGCAAACATATCTCACGGGTTTGCCGAACGGGCGGCAGGGATTCTGAGGGCAGCGTGCTGCTCAACACATCGACTTGCCAGGTGCGGTGCCACAGGGGAGCGCATGGGCCCGTACGTATAGGAAGCTTCAGCTTGGATGCGGTCGCGCGGATGACACTGGCTGGCCTTCGGCCAGCCAGCCGTTACACAGAGCGTCCGCCTGCCGGCTGCTTGTTTTGGCGCGGCTTGCGGCCGGCGATGCGACTGCCGAGTGGAGGCGGGGGGCTCAGTCCACGGCGCACGTGGGGGCGGTGCGAGCGACGGCGATTTTAGCGCCCCCTGCTGTCGTTCTGTTGGAGTTTGCAGCACCATAAACTTGGACCTCACGGGGACCATGGGTCGCTCATGCGCCATGCACCTTGCATGCATTTAGCCGGGTGGGGGTTCCCCATTCTGGTGGGTGTGGCGGGATCGCAGGGCCGGCTGCGGGGGGGTCTACAGAAGCGACAGGGCTGGCGCAGTTTGACGCACATGGGTCTCGACGACCGCGGCTTCGCCCGGCTTAGTGGCCCTCCAGCCCGTTGACAGGCTGCGGCGACGGCACTGGTTCGGGTGACATGAAGCCGCGGGGAAGCACACTCTACGTACAACATACAGCTGGGGTAAACGGGATCGACAAAGGAGAGAAAGAGCAGGCCGCGCTGGGTGTGTGAATGGCGGTGTAGTCTCTGTTTCTTGTGTGCAACTGCCGGCAGGCCGCTGGCTCGCGGCGCGCGTCGCGCGTGGCGATGGGCTTCGCCTTACATCACCGTCTGGTCGGCACCCGGCCCAGGCACTCGAGGCGGTGCTTCGAAGGAACCAATGTGCTGGGGTCGCGGACGTCGACGTACAAAGCTCGGTAGGTCTCGCTCGTATCAGCGCTTCCAAGAAAGCGCGAAGGCTTCTCTCAAGCGATGCAGGCTTCGTCGGCCCTCGCTCAGCGATCTTTCTCCCGCGGCATGGGCAACGTGCGCAACGCTTATTGGAGCATGCTCTGAAACATGCGCGTGGAACTGGCGCGGGATGCTGTCGGCGCAGATCTGGGGCAAGCGGGTCACGGGTGGGTGCGAGACAGCGACACCGGGCGCAAGGGCTCACGCTGACCGACTCGTGCTTTTCCATACCTACATACTTGCAGAAGCACTCCTCCCGTCGTGACACCGTGAAGACAAACGCCACCGCGACCGCCGCAAAGATGAACATCGCCAAGGACGTTACCGAGCTCATCGGTGGGGCCACGGGATGCAGAACGTGATGCAGGGGCTGCCTGCGCTCGGCCAGGGTCTAGCACGGCCCTGTAGCGACCGAGTGACGCAACATGGACTTGTCGAGGCGCCAGCAGGGACCGCTCCCTTTGGGGGCCCCTCCCGCCGGCCCCGACGGCCGCGGCGGCTCCTCCCGCCCGCAGGCAACACGCCGATGGTGTTCCTGAAGCGCGTGAACGAGGGATCGGTGGGCAAGGTGGCCTGTAAGCTCGAAATCATGGAACCCTGTTGCAGCGTCAAGGACAGGTGCGCGCGGCGCCGCCCCATGCGCCGCTGCCCCATGCGCCACACCCTGCGCCGCGGCCGCCATCGCCGCCCGCCCCGCGCGGCCACAGATACTCCGCGCCTTCCTCCCGCTCCGCCGAGCCGCCGCGCCGAGCGGCGCATGGCCAGCGGCGTCCCGGGGCGCCGGCCAGTGGCCGGCCGGCGGCGCGCCTGAGACTGCCAGCTGGCTGGCCGCCCACGCGCCTTCCAGACGTGCCGCGCGACCTGGTCCGGCCCGCGGCGGCTTTGCGCATGAGCACTCCGCACTGGCAACCTTGGACTCGCACCGCAGGATTGGTTACAGCATGATCTCTGCTGCCGAGGCCGACGGCAAGATCACCCCCGGCAAGGTGCGCCGCACAAGCGCGGTAGCTGCGCCCTCGCGCTCATCAAAAGCAGCAGCCGCGCGGCCCAGGCGCGGGGGAAGGTCCTCAAAAGCTGTTTGCACCTGCCTGGGTGCACGGGGTTGGGGGTGGGGTTGACTCAGGCCCATCGGAAACTGCGCCAGGGCTGACGCCCCACCCGGCACCTTGTCACCCCCCTCATGTCATCGCCCCTAGACCACCCTTGTGGAGCCGACCAGCGGAAACACGGGCATTGGTCTGGCATTCATCGCCGCCGCCAAGGGCTACAAGCTGGTGGGTGGCTCTGCAATGGATTTTCAACCGAAATGGCGGGCGCGAGAGGCCGAGGCGGCCGCGTACGGCGGGACGAGCAGCGCGGCCGCCGCGCCCCAGCTGCAAACGCTGCGCCGCCCCTGGCTGCGCGTGTCGCTGCGAAAGCGGCACCGTCTTGTGTCGGGTCCTTGCAGCCCCGCTCGCCCGCACGCTGAAAAGCGCTGCGCCGATGCGGGCTGGCGGCCCAGCCGCGCGGCCGGCAGACCGCCCGCCGTCACACAGCATCATTCAGCGGTACGGACACGCAATCGGGCATCACCCCTGTCACCCGTACCGCCAACCTGTACCGCAGGTCCTGACCATGCCCGCTTCTATGTCCCTGGAGCGCCGCATCCTGCTGCGCGCCTTCGGCGCCGAGCTGGTGCTCACCGACCCCGCCAAGGGCATGAAGGTGCGCGGACCGGATTGAATCGGACTGGACTGGGCTGGGCGGACCTGGGCGGTTTTTTGGGGGGCGATGCTGCTTTCATGGCTGGCGGGCTGGTTGGTCGGGTGCGACAGGCGCGACATTTGGTGGTGGACTGGCTGGCGGCGCGCTTGGCCGGTTGTTTTGGGCACAATATTGGCGTCTGAAACTCTTCACGAGTGTGCAGTCTTGGAGGGAGCTGGTGTGTTGCTTTTGTTGGACGTGGGCGGGCAGAGGCGGCTTTGCCCGGTGTCAGGCGGGGCCCGAGGCGGTCGTGTGTGCTGCATGTGGCGTGGACGGCTAGCGCCGCCCAGGTCGCGCTCTGAGCTTTCGGCCAACTGCGTGGCGCACCACGGCAGCGCGCGGCTGGCGGTGGCGTTGTCGCGTCCATTTTGGGCTGGGTGTCCCCGTGGGTGATCAGGGCGGCTGCTGCGCGGGCAAACTGCACGTAGGGGCGCAAGCGGGCCGGCTGGCGTCCAAGCTGGGTGTAGATCCGATTACTCGCTGCGCCCTGCGGCGCCGCGCCCCGCGGCCGTGCGCCGCAGCGACGCGGCTTGGGTCTAGCCCGCTTAGTCACGCCGCTGAGGCACACTGCTCAGCCACTCGCGGGCCGAAACCGGGTCTGCTGACACCATCTGGAGTTGCGAGGGCCCATGTCGGGGGACGGGCGTGGGGCGGCGCCGGCGCACGGGCGGCGGGTCGTCGGGGCATGACCACGGCTCGCACTGGGGTGTCTTGGCGCGGGGCCGGGGATCTGCGCGCACGGCCCTCGCTGCTGCGGCTGGGGCTTTGCGACGGCGCGGGCCGCGCGTCCTTCGCCATGGCATTGCGGGCGCGGCACGGGGGCTGGGTGTGGATGGGGTTGGGAGCGGTGTGTTTCTGGGCAGCGATGGGGGCCTTGAGCAATCCAGGCAGGGGCCTGTCGAGGCCGCTGCGGTTGAACAAGGTGCGGGCAGCACAAATGCGACGGCGGCTGCGGCGCTGCCACGGAGGCCCGGCCGACCAGTCTGCCGTGGGCCGGCGTTTCTGCACCGCGCCTGCCGGCCCCACATGCGTCACCTGGCAGTCAATTACGCCCAACCCCTTCCGCCCCGCAAACAGCCTACGTGCGCCGCCACCCTCGTCTCCTCCCCACCTCTCACCACAC